TTGAATAGGAATCCATAACCCCTGCTTTCCTCTTCCCTCACTCCTCCCACCTTTCACGATGAAACTGTCCCAGAGTAAAGAAAGGGAACTTTGTGAGTACATATGAAAAGTGCAAGGCTTTACCCTTAACTCTCTGTCTTTATCATAGCTTATCATAGCTTTTCTTTTACAATGAAGGAGTCTCTACCATATATCAAATGAAACTAAAATGCCAAGCAAAACAAAGCCTATTGAAGAAATCGTATTTGTATTTGGGAGAAGTGCTCTCTTTACTAACACCTTGATCAGTGCCAGCTGCTGGGAATGAATTTCCAGTGGAAATCATTAACACAATTGGAGCAAAAGCAATAAAATGCAGATTGAATTCAAAACTTCTTGGTAAGCAGATGAAGCTCACTTTCTCACTAATATGAAAAAAGTGGCCAAGTGCAGTGGTTCACGCCTATAATACCAGCACTTTGGGAGGCCGAGGCAGGAGGATTACTTGAGCCCAGGAGTTCGAGACCAGTCTGGGCAACGTGTTGAAACCCCATCTCTACTAAAAATACAAAAATTAGCCAGGCATGGTGGCACACACCTTTAGTCCAAGCTACTTGGGAAGCTGAGATGGGAGGATCACTTCGGGAAGTGGAGGCTACAGTGAGCCGTGATTGTGCCACTGCACTCCAGCCTGGGCAACAGAGTGAAACCCTGTCTCAAAAATAAAAAAAAAGAAAGAAAAATTAACGGAATAACTAGGTTCTATTTCTGGTTCTGAACCCCTCCTATCCCAGCTGTTAGATCACCAGAGATATCTTTCGAACACACTGGTGTGAGGACCTGCTTTCTGAATAATCAGTATTACCTCTATTGGAACTATTTTTTAAAACATATTTCTGCTCTCTAGTCCCCCATCCCTAAAATACAGATACAGTTTATTAGGTTTGTTGTAGTAAACATGGATTAGTGTATACTAAATGCTGTCAGTCATTGTTATGACTCTTTCCAATTAGCACAGGCTCAATCCAGGGACCAGGGATTGTATTAAGAGGGTTGGACTGAGTTATAGGCTACAAGCAGGGCAGGTGGAGTTCTGACACCTGCAGCATCCGCACTGCTGCACTGGCACGTCTCTGTGCGGAAGCTGGTGGTGAATGTGCTCCTTGGGAATTATGCAGGGTAACAGGCCCACATGCGGGACTTCTCCCACCGGCTCCTGTTGACCACCCTCATCAGCCATGACACATCTGTTTCCAGGCTTTCAACTGGACAGTTCACCAGGTAGTGACTTTGCTGCTTTCTCTTGGGCCCAAGCATCAAGAGCATCCAACATTCTCCTGGATTAGGATGCTCCGGTCACACTGCTGCTGGTTTTGTTAGTGTGTAAGGAGCACACTCGGACTTTTGTCATTTGTGCTGAAGCTGCTCTTTTTCCTACAGCTGTATCAGTCAGGATTCTCCAGAGAAACAGAACCAATAGAATACACATAGATGCATATATCGATATATTTATTTGTTTAGAAATATTGATTTATTTTAAGGCATTGACTCATACGATTGTGGAGGCTGGCAAGTCCGAATTTGTAGCATAGGCAGGCTGGAGACCCACGGAAGAGTGGATGTTTGCAGTTCGCACCCAAAGGTAGTCTGCTGGCAGAATTCCCTGTTCCTTTGGGTCGTCAAGACATTTTTTATTAAAGTCTTTAGTTGATTGGATGAGGCCCACCCACATTATAGACGGTAATCTGCTTTACTCAAAAACCTACTGATTGAAATGTTAGTCTCCCAAAAATAAAAATAAAAATAAAAAAATAAACCTTCACAGAAAGCTCTAGAATAATGTTTAGCCAAATATCTGAGTATTGTGGCCTACCCAACTAGACATGTAAAATATACCATCACAACTTCCAAGTATACCACAGTGGCTTAACAAGTATGAGTGAGTCACAACGAGCTCTAGTCATCAGCTATATGGCCTGATCAATGGTGTGGGCCAGCACTTTTATTAAAACTTTTATTAAAACAATTTCCCAGGTATTGTCATTCCTCTGCAGACTTTTACTCATCATGAGCCTACAGCACAGCAGGCCCAGGAAGGGAGTTAACTGCCATTCGCACTGTACCCTGTCCAGCCACCTCCCTGCACACATCCCCAGGCTCCAGCCCTACCCAGAAAATCCAGTCAAGCACTGCAAGAACAGTTCTGCTACTCACATAAAAGGTGGCGCCATGCATTCATGTCCTTCAGTGAACATGCAGAAAGACTGAGTCAAACATGTGGCATGGAAAAGTGGAGCAATTCAATGGGATCTTCACTGGAGGGTTTTGTTGTTTGTTTGAAGTTCTGTGAGTTACTTGAATATCAAATACACTTACTTTCAAATATAGAAACCTGCATGAATCTCATAGCCAGATATATGATGGTGGAATATGTGCTGACTTGGATGATTGATAAATTCTTAAACATTTGAGGTGTGTTCAGATGATTCCTTCAGACCATCTCTTGTCAGGGAGAGTAAGAATTCTGAGACCGCTTATAACATTTCGCTTAAGCTTCTCAACGTAGAGGTGAGAAAACTGAGTTCCCAAATGCAAGTGATCTGCCCAGAAGCCACTTAACGATGTCAGTTTTTCCCATCACATCAAATCACAACTATCTAACCCTTCCCCCCACTTCCCACCTTTTTTTTTTTTTTTTTAACAGATCAATCATCAGAGTTCAAAGCTAAAATCATCTTCTGGTATGTTCTGCCCGTATCCGTTACTGTGTTTCTTTTTTCTGTGATGGGCTATTCCATCTATCGATATATCCACGTCGGCAAAGAGAAACACCCAGCAAATTTGGTGAGTGCTTAGTGTGGCAGGGATCTTTATTATAATAGTACACCTCCAGGAGGACAGAAGAGGAGGTTCTAGAGCAGATTCAGTTCCCTTTAAGGGCAGAGTGAAATTAAAGTTAAATAGCTGGTGAATTAAAAAACACTTTCTGGGCTGGGCATGGTGGCTCATGCCTATAATCCCAGCACTATGGGAGGCTGAGGCAGTTGGATCACTTGAGGTCAGGAGTTCAAGACCAGCCTGGTCAACAGCATGAAACCCCATCTCTACTAAAAATGCAAAAATTAGCTAGGTGTGGTGATGCATGACTATAATCCCAGCTAGTCAGGAGGCTGAGACAGGAGAGTCACTTGAACCTGGGAGGCCAAGATTGCGGTGAGGCAAGAGTGCGCCACTGCACTCCAGCCTGAGTGACAATGAGACTGTCTCAAAAAAAAAAAAAAAAAAAAAAAAAAACCTGCTTTTTGGATTAGCTCACTGACAGAATTTTTTTCCTTAGCTTTGAAAAGATGTTCTATGTAATGACCAAATTTTATAAGGTCCCGCAGATAAGTTCAGTCATGATCCCTGCCCTGCCCTTCTAGAAGTTCAAGCCTAGTTGGGGACTAGAATTTCAAAATAATACGTGAAGGCTAAGATGAGAGCAGGCACTGGGAACTCGGGGGGTACAAGGAGAGCCCTGAAACCCTACACAGGGGTTCAGCTCTCATGCCAGGGCTTGGCTATGAGAGGTGAGTAGGAGTTAGGATCCGTAGTGCAGGCAGAAGAAACAGCAAGGTGGATGTGTGGAAACTGCATGACATTCATAAACCAGGAGGCTACAGATGAGGAGCTAGAGAAGACGACGAGACTGGAGAGTGGGCGGTGGGTCCAAGTAAGGGGAGAACTGAGGTGCTGTTCTAAGGAGCTCAGCCTCATTCTACCGGCAAAGAGAAATCTCCATAGGGTTTTAGGTTAGAAGCATCATAGTCAGTATCAAGGTTTAGATCCAACCAGATATTAGTTCCAGGACAACTTGGAGCTGAGTAAGACTAGAAACAAGAAAAGCACCTAGGGAACTAGCTTTGTCCAGGGGAGAGAAGATTCAAGTCTAACAGGCCAGAGTGGGACATCAGGTTAGAGAGAAAGACGTGGAATGGAAACACACTTAGGAGGAACATGGCCAGGACTTAATCCTTCACAGTAAGAAGCAGCAAGAAAGAAGAAAGAATTAAACCCACGGAGGTGGGACCATGTGCTGAAGGGTTCTGAAGGGCTGAGCATATTTTTAACAATCAAAACCATTTTCTTGGGAACTATTAAAAGATGTGTTCCCGTGTACATGATAACGTACCTTGGTTCCTGTTAGTTCCGTTTATAAGTTTTTCTATGATTCTACCTGCGTTCAGGTTTCAGAGTTGGCTTCCTAATGGCATTGGGAGACCTTTTCTGGAAGGAACATTCACAGGAGAATTGACCACCTGTGATTTTTTAGAAACTTAAAATGTTGTAAAAGAATGAGGCTGAAGGTTCTGTTTTGTAAAGTTAAATGAAATCACATGGTAGAGTGACAATGAGGATTGTAACTCATGCTCTCTTAGAAAACAGGTATCTTTCACGGTACCCACAGCAATAATTTAATCTCGTCTGAGCTTCCCTGACATGATTTGGAGTTTCTCTCTCTACCATAAACTGGCAGATGAGTTTCCTTTTTTGGCCCTATTATAGCATGATAAGAATGGCATAAGGGATAAAAACCATCCCTGCTCATATATTTCCCGCCCTTTCTACATCCAGTTCTCATGCCTGTCCGCATTTCAAATATATCCAAAAACAGAGCAGGTAGCCCAGGTAACCACAGCTTATTAACAAGTACATAGCAAACTATAAATAAAACAATGTCACAAACTCTGCCACATTCAGTCTTTGCTACTCTTCATGTGGCTAAGATTCTGACTTTACAGAATGTAAAAAAGGTCGAGAAATGAAGAACTCCCCTGCCGGTTACAAGAGGGGGCACCAACGCCCCAGCCCCAGCCCTGGACTGGAGAAATGCCCACCCAGTGAACCACTTCTCACTTCCATGTATCTTCTGTGTGTCTTGGGTCTCTTGCCTCCCAGTGAGTGAGGTTTTCTGTATATTGCAAGCATAACTTTCATTTAGATGAGTTGGTAAGAGTAGGTCTTTAAAACTATCTGGTGACAAGATATTCTACCTAACAGCTGTTTCTAATGTCTCTCTAAAGTGAAAAGGTGAAAACCATTCTCTTTTCTCGTTATAGATTTTGATTTATGGAAATGAATTTGACAAAAGATTCTTTGTGCCTGCTGAAAAAATCGTGATTAACTTTATCACCCTCAATATCTCGGATGATTCTAAAATTTCTCATCAGGATATGAGTTTACTGGGAAAAAGCAGTGATGTATCCAGCCTTAATGATCCTCAGCCCAGCGGGAACCTGAAGCCCCCTCAGGAGGAAGAGGAGGTGAAACATTTAGGGTACGCTTCGCATTTGATGGAAATTGTTTGTGATTCTGAAGAAAACGCAGAAGGTACTTCCCTCACCCAGCAAGAGTCCCTCAGCAGAACAATACCGCCAGATAAAACAGTTATTGAATATGAATATGATGTCAGAACCACTGACATTTGTGCAGGGCCTGAAGAGCAGGAGCTCAGGTTGCAGGAGGAGGTGTCCACACAAGGAACATTATTGGAGTCACAGGCAGCGTTGGCACTCTTGGGCCCGCAAACATTACAGTACTCATACACCCCTCAGCTCCAAGACTTAGACCCCCTAACGCGGGAGCACACAGACTCAGAGGAGGGGCCAGAGGAAGAGCCGTCGACGACCCTGGTCGACTGGGACCCCCAAACTGGCAGGCTGTGTATTCCTTCGCTGTCCAGCTTCGACCAGGACTCAGAGGGCTGCGAGCCTTCTGAGGGGGATGGACTCGGAGAGGAGGGTCTTCTGTCTAGGCTCTATGAGGAGCCGGCTCCAGACCGGCCACCAGGAGAAAATGAAACCTATCTCATGCAATTCATGGAGGAATGGGGGTTATATGTGCAGATGGAAAACTGATGCCAACACTTCCTTTTGCCAGACCCCTACTGTGCAGACAAGTGATTCACCCCTTTGATCCCAGCCATAAAGTACCTGGGATAAAAGAAGTGTTTTCCAGTTTGTCAGTGTCTGTGAGAATTACTTATTTCTTTTCTCTATTCTCATAGCACGTGTCTGATTGGTTCATGCACACAGGTCTCTTAACGATGGTGGTGGGTGCCTAGAGTGCAGGGGCTGGCCGGTTGTTCTATGCAGAGAAAGCAGTCAATAAATGTTTGCCAGACTGGGTGCAGAATTTATTCAGGTGGGTATACTCTGGCCTCTTTGTTCATTATTTTCGAACAAGCACACTTGTACAGTTATTTTCTGAGTACTTCCCATGTGTACATAGCACTGTAAAAAATATTTTCCAAAGATCATTCACTTTATAAATACCACTTTTTCAGATTGGGTTTATTGCGAGCAGGAGGAGATACTTAAAACATGCACATATACCAGGTTGGTGGTAAGTTGGTCACATCTGAAAACCTCAACTGTTTAATCATCATGATTCATATTTTGAGTGAATACATCAGGCACAGACCTTCATGATGTCACACCCTCTTGGCTACTTTAAGAGGCCATCTTTAATACTTTATGAGTAGTTCTGGAGTATAAACATAAATGAGTATTCTTTGTAGTCAGAAAAGTGTCCTCTCAATAATTTAGTAGGGGCTTATTGTAAAGCACTATGTTACTATTATAATATTAAACATTAGAGTAGGCAGTGGTTCAAAGACTCTTTGGAATGTCTATGAATGAATATCCTCTATTCTTATAATACTAAAACCCATAAGTAAATATAGGACATGCAAGAGAAATAAGTTAAATGACTAGGTAAGGGAGCGTTTATTAAAATTTGACAAAATTTACTGTGGGAACTAAACTATGCCATAAAACAATAGCTTTCTAGCTCAATTCCAGTAACTGTTCCCATCTCCTTTACCACTTGTTAAGAAAATTAAATTCTTCAGTCACACTGCTTTGAAATGGGACAAAATCTATTAAGTTGAACCCTATATAATTGTTGATATTTTGCTTTTAATCTGACAAGCAGTAACTTCATATGGTTTGCCTTAATATATATTTGTTTTAATCATGAACTCATAATCCATTGATGCTCTTTCAAGAAAACAGATATCACCCATATTTCCTTATTGATATTTTTGGTACAGGCAGACAATCCTGGTAGGAGAGATGGATTCTGGGGTCATGACCTTTTGTGATTGCCCACAAATGCAAACAGTTTCAGATCTAATGGTTTAATTTAGAGAGTAATTATATTAAGCAGAGTGTTCTGTTATTCTCAATCTTTATGGAAATGATTCTGCTGGTTTTGAAGAACAGATGTATTACACTAACTGTAAAAGTAGTTCAAGAGTGAGAATGAATTGTTATTAAGAGCAAAAGAAAAATAAAGTGATTGATGATAGTTCTGCTTATTAATTCCATTCACAAAATATTTTCTAAGCACCTAATATGTCCTTCAGTGTCCTCATCTGTGCAATAGAAATAAGAGCTGCCTTAGGGCTGTTTTGAGAATGAAGAGAGTTGGACTATAGAAGGTATTTAGACCTGTGCTGGGCACATAGTGAGTGCTCCCTAAGTGTTTGCCATCATCATCGTTAACTGCCAGGTCCCATTACTAACTGCCAGAAAGAAACGCCATTTAGACATACAACTATAGTGATTCAAAGGCAGACCTTGTCTAACTCTGTTTTTCTTACTGGAGAGTAAATAGTAATTTGTTTCCTACTTTGTGCCCTCAGATTGAAATCCTTCAGTGGTTCAGCCACATTATCTGGCTTTGTAAAAGGGGAATGTAATTCTGAGTTGCTTTTACATCTCTTGTTATTCCAAGCATGTCAGAAATATTGAGCGTTCTCTAATTTTGCTGCTTCAGTTCTTTGCAACATATGTATATATTGAATCTATATAGATATACACACACATTCAAACATGAGCATACAGTATATATTTCTCATGGGGGTGGTGGCATCTTCTTAGATGCAGTATATCTGTGTGGGAGGCAGCTGTCATGCATCCTGTTCCTTCTGTGGCCAGGCCTCACCATCTCCAAGAAGCCACCCTCTGGTCTGCTTCAGATTTCATCTCTATGCCTGAGGTTCAGACGGAGCTGAGAAGTTGAAGTTTCAGAGTCCGACAAGTACAGTTGGCCCTCTGTATCTATGGGTTCAGCATCCATGGATTCAACCAATAGCAAATCAAACATTCATTAAAAAAGAAATCCACAAAGTTCCAAAAAGTGAACATTGAATTTGCATCACACTGAGTGCTACATTGAATGCACTTAAATGAAGTGATGTCTAGGCCTGTTGGGCATTACAAGCAATCTAGAGATGATGGAAAGTATACGGGAGAATGTGTGTGGGTTATCTACACCATTTTATACCATGGAGTTGAGCATCTGTGGATTTTTGGTATCCTCGGGGTTCCTGGAACCAATCCCCAATGAATACCAAGGGAAAACTATACTGTTCATCCTATCCCTGGTTATTCCCAGGATTTTATATGCCACTTGCACATTAGTTAAGTTTTCCTTATCTAATAGAAATAAAAAACATCTACTAGCAGCTCCATTTCCACACCCCATCAATCCTAAACAACTGGTGAAGGAAAATACCACCGCTACAAAGTGAGTGAAACGTAGCGCCACGTCTTCCTCTCAAGAAGGAAGTGAGGGAAGTGAACTTGTCACTGAAGCCCATAACATGGGAAAGATCTGGTGCCCCCTGCCCGCCATGCTGAGCCCAACTGGAAGGAAGTCAGTGCAGAGAAAAACTATTTGTACAGCCCAGAACACAAGACTGCCAGCTTGGTAAATCTAATGAGAACATTAAACAGAGGATTGGTTGTCATGGATGGGTACCCCTGGGTCATTAATCAAGTTATTTCTGGCCCACACATTACCACCCCCACATCTTGCAGATTAATTTTTGCTAAATTATCTTAGAAGAACGTTATTTCCTTTTTAATTCCCCACATTATATCTTCCATAAACCTTCTATCTACAGATATTTTTCAAAGATTTTGCTCAAAAGCATGTACCCATAATTTTTAAAATAAATAGTGCTGTGGTTATGGGTATTTTAATAATAGCTTTTATTTTTATTATAGAAGACATATATTACGATATATGTACACATACTCATTGTAGAATAACTAGAAATAAATGGGGGAAGAAAGAAAAATTACCCATAATACTCTCACCCAGATTTAACCACCATAAACATATTTGAATAGAGAAATGATTCTCAACTGGAGGAAGTTTTGTCCCCAAACTTTGGGGCAAGGCCAGGAATAAATACTGCTAAACATCCTACCATAACAAAGTGTTATCCAGCCCAAAATGCCAATAGTGCTTCACTTCATAAACCTGGTGCAGGACTTTATGGACATTTTCATTGCATGTATGCAAATATTTTTGCCAAAAGTGGGGATTAGATTGGATTAGTTTATAACTTGTTCCTTTCACTTAAAGATATGTAACTATCTGATTTTAACTACAGATTAAGTTTATAATGCACCAACCTTATTCAAGCTAGAACATTTGAAAGAACAGATTGGGAATTATTTTTTCCAAACATAATGCTTTAAAACAGTTTTAGACCAGGCATGGTGGCTTCCGCCTATAATCCCGGCACTTTGGGAGGCTGAGGTGGGCGGATCACTTGAGGCCAGGAGTTTGAGGTCAGCCTGGCCAACATGGTGAAACCCCGTCTGTAGTAAAAATACAAAAATTAGCCAGGCGTGGTGGCATGTACCTGGAATCCCAGCTACTCAGGAGGCTGAGGCGGGAGAATCACTTGAACCTGGGAGGCAGAGGTTTCAGTGAGCCAAGATGGCACCACTGCACTCTAGCTGGGGCAACAGAGCAAGACTCCGTCTCAAATAAAATAAAATGAAAATGAAAATAAAATAGATTTAGCCAAGCAGCAACCAGAAATACTGTAAGTCCTTTAAGCATAGCTGAACCTCTCAAAAACACTGTTTCCTGAAAATTACTACCTCTCCAAACTGGCTGGATGACTATTCTGGTCATGTATCATCCCTTATTGGAGTTAGACTCTCTGTGCTTAGTTCCTACTACCACTTCTCCCAAGCCTTGGGTCCTCAGTGACATGTGCTTGAAGGCAGCCTTGGCCATGCAGGCCATTACTTTGACCATCAGGACTGATGTTCCTCCAGCCTCCTTGGCCTGTTTGGTGGCTGCAAAACATCAGTCCTACTAGTTTTAATCTTTAGTAAATTTTCCCCTTGGTTTTCACTTCTGATTTTCATGCCAGTGAGTTTAGGTTCTTTCAGCATCGCTACATGCAAGACTCCCTTGAGGGAGGGGATGAGGGCTGCTGTGTGAGGCTGTTTGGCAGTGCTTTCTGTTGTGCTTGTGTTGATGGGTGGAGGCTCCTTCTGTCCCAAGGAACTGAAGCGTGGGCTCTTTGCTACAACTGGAAGCAGATGAGGCATTTTCTCCCTTACTCTCCCCAACAGATCTCTTTAGATTTCTCAATCTGTCATTTTCTGGATTAGGTGGTATTCGGAGGCTTTCTACCAACTCAGAAGATAGACATATGGCTCATGTTTATGTTTTCATGCACAGGCCACTGAGACAGATGAGCACTGACGGGGATAAACACCATTGGTCATTTGCCTGTCCCTGGAACTCATTTTGAGGGGCATATGAATTAGATACTGCTCTTAAAGGTCTCATACAATTAAAATTATTTACATATTATTGTTTCTTCTCAGGCAAGTGCATTCTTTCCCATTCTGAAATTGATTTGAAATGCAAAAACATCAGGATATTTGATATAAGAGTAAAATTTTTAAAATGATAGAGATTTTAACACCAAGCCCCCAAAAAGGAGATGTGGCATATTGGATCTCTATTAAATTTGTTGACTTTTTGCTTTAAAAAGAATTTGCCAGCATTTGATTAACAAAAGGATATATGGACAAATGGAAACACACCTTAGAACTTTTCAAATTGACTGACTGAGGGATTGATAAGCCAAAGAAGAATCAGTATGGTGTATTGATTGCAAGGATAGACTCTTGAAGCCGAGATGCTTGGTCTCTGTAGCTTTCTAGGTTTGTCACCTCAGGCAACTTAACCTCTTTGGTCTAAATTCCCTCATCAGTGGAATGAGGATAATAATTTTACATACCTCAGAGGGCTGCAGGAGATTTAAATGAATCAATATATTTGAAGCACTTAAAACAGTGCCTGACACAAAATAAGTGCTCAGTAAATAAAACAATAAAAACAGCAATAAAAACAGCACATATAAGAATGTTCATAGAAGCATCATTCATTTACTTAATATGCAAAAGAACACAAAGGCTTGGCATAAGGATGCTTTGAAAATGAACTACAATTTCACATGGTAACATGAATGAATCTCACATACATAATATTGAACAAAAAGATTGATTTCTAAAAGAACACAGAGAGCATAATTCCACTTGTATAAAATACACAAACATAGAAAACTAAACAGTATATTGTTTAGGGATACATATATATATGGTAAGACAAGGAAATGACTAAAAGTTTGAGATTGTGGCTCCCGCTTGGGAACCAAGGACAGAGGTCACATTGGAATTGGCAATGGTCTCCTTAAATGGTGGTGAAAACAAGAGTTTTCCTTTGGTTATTCCTCTTTAGACTGAGCATGTATAGTATACATGCCCTAATGTATATATATTTAATTAAGCAAAACAACAATGGAATCCCAAAGCCCCTGAATTTTAGTGTCATACTCATGGGTTCCATAATCAGTATTAGCTTTGTGACGTTGGTCAAGGCATTTGAAATTGTGAGAGCTGTCATACATTTTCCCTTGCAATTCAGAAACAAGTATATTAGTGGTCATATTCTGTTTATAAAAACTCTTAGTTTGCAAACTTTTTACTAAGTCTAAAATTCTGAACAGGAAAGAGCCATTGACAGATTAGCTTCTATGCAGAAGGGCATGAGCTTAAAACCTTAGCTTTACTGAGATCTGTCATTATTCAAAATAAACAAATACCTGAAGCCTGGTAGGAAATGAGGAGGACACATGATTCACACAAACTTCTGAAATGCAAGCACCTTTTTCTTACTCACAGGTAATAATGCATTAATAAGTAATAAGATCTCAGGAAGGCAAACAGGCTGTCCCACTGATAAAAATTACGTAGTGTAAACAAATCCCTTTTTTAAGAAGCAGCTAATAGTTTATCTCTGTTAGCTGATTTCAGCATGCAGGGAAAAAGGGCTAGGATTTCTCAAATGCTCTGCCTTTACAGTTCAGCTGATTGTTCCTTTCTGTAATAGTTTGCCTTGGTTACAATCGCTTAGTGACCATTAGCAAATAGAATGTGTTTGCTTTTCCTAAGGTCCATGTTTCCTGCCAGCTTGTAGCCACCAGCTTCCAAAATAAAATATTGTGAAATTACAGATTGAAACAACACCTTCACGTAGAAACATCTGTAGTCCAGGCATAATGAGGAACTTTAAATATTTAACCTCTGGGAGAAAAAAGAGTATAAACATATAAACAGAAGTATAGGTAAGACATTCATATAAACAGAATTATAGTTAAGTATAATTAAGGTGTTTCTTGGGTAGGCACAGTGGCTCATGCCTATAATTCTAGCACTTTGAGAGGCCTGAGGCGGGAGGATCACTTGAGCCCAGGAGTTCAAGACCAGCCTGGGCAACTAACAAGACCCTGTCTCTACTTAAAATTCAAAAACATTAACCTGATGTGGTGACAAGTGTCTGCGGTCCCAGCTACTCAAGAGGCCAAGGCAGCAGGATGGCTTGAGCCCAGGGGTCAAGGCTGCAGGGAGCCATGATGGTGCCATTGCATTCCAACCTGGGCAGCAAAGCAAGACCCTGTCAAGAAAAAAAAAAAGTCTCTTGTTAGCAACCCACATCAACTAAACCCTAGGCTCAAATACCAGGAGTGTTGTGTTCATTTTGAGCAACACCTTTAACAAGGGCTTCAGCCAACCAGGAAACAACTTTAAAAAGTCTCGAAGCCAAAACTTAAGGGGCAGTGCAGAGAGAAAGAATCCAAGACTTAGTGAACCCCTGATAACCATATGCAAAGGACTTTCTTGCAAATGAGGACATTAGATATATATGTCTGTTGCTTCAGAGAATAAAATTAGGACACACATTTGGGAGTCTGTGGAAGGCAGAGTTCAGTTCTGAGTAAGGAAGAGTCTTCTATAATTAAGTGGCAGTTCTGAGATACTGAGTTTCCTGTCACTAGAAAGGTTCAAGTACAGGCTGGTTACTGCTACAGCTTTTGTAGACAGATTCCTCCACAGGGCTGGGCGTTGGGATAAATGGTCTCTAAAGTCCCTTTCACTTCTCAATGCCTAATATGAAGTATGAAAAAACAATATTTGAAATCTGTTTTGTTTTTGTTTTTGTTTTTGTTTTTGAGACAGAGCCTCACTCTGTCACCCAGGCTGGAGTGCAGTGGCGCAATCTTGGCTCACTGCAACCTCCACCTCCCGGGTTCAAGCGATTCTCCTGCCTCAGCCTCCCAAGTAGCTGGGACTATAGGGGCACACCACCACGCCCGGGAAATTTTTTGTATTTTTAGTAGAGATGGGGTTTCACCGTGTTAGCCACGATAGTCTCAATCTCCTGACCTCATGATCCACCCACCTCGGCCTCCCAAAGTGCTGGGATTACAGGTGTGAGCCACTGCGCCTGCCCTGAAATCACTTTTCTTTCTTTTTTATTCCATGCAATTGACTAGCTTGCAACTCATTCTCTATTTTTCATATACTGCTATAAACTTGCCCTTTGTGTACAGTGAAGAGGAGCCAAGCAATACTCATCTGATATGATTTGACTGTGTCCCCATTCAAATCTCAACTTCAGTTGTATCTCCCAAAATTCCCATGTGTTGTGGAAGGGACCTGGGGGAAGTAATTGAATTATGGGGGCTGGTCTTTTCCATGCTATTCTTGTGATAGTGAATAAGTCTCTTGAGATCTGATGGGTTTATCAGGGGTTTCCACTTTCGCTTCCTTCTCATTTTTCTCTTGCCACCACCATGTAAAAAGTGTCTTTCGGCTCCTGCCATGATTCTGAGGCCTCCCCAGCCAATTGGAACTGTAAGTCCAATTAAACCTCTTTTTGTTCTAAGTTTTGGGTATGTCTTTATCAGCAGCATAAAAACAGACAAATATACCATCCTAGAATGGGACACACAGGAGCCCACAGGTTCCCCTCTGAGGACTCAGCACCAGACTGACACCTCTGAGTTCTCATCCTTACAAAACATGAGTTCCAGTCTAGAAGTGTCATCTTCCCCTCCCCCTTCTTCATGGCCACGATGCTTAAGCAAGTCCTTTTTACTTCCTTCTTTTCTCCTTAATGAAGTTTTTGGGTTGCCAGAAAAGGAAACACTGTACAAATGAGACTCAAAAGCTAACTTATTTCCGTAAATCTCTTTCTGACTCCTAGACCAGGACTGAACATTACTAGAAAAACTACGCATCAGACAGGTATAAATAAATGCTAGGTTTACACTTTTAAAACATTGTCTATTATCACGTTTCAATCCAAATAAATATTATCTGGCCTCAGAAAACCCCAGAGGCAATTATCATTAGAATGGAGTTTTCTTTGCTGGAAGTATCAAAATATGTTCTCAAATATAACTTAGCCAATATCTCATTTCTTACTGCACTTAATTTCTCAGGTATGCCTAAATCTAAGAATTATATTATTGCACTTTTTTGATAAATAGAAAAAGTGAAAGTAAAATGAAAAGAGATAGGAGGGAAAGGAAATGTCTTCATATCCCCATCGCACAGTGTGCAGCACCCAGTGCAAAATTGTGATGAGCCAACAAGTGCATGGAAAGCGTGAGCAAAGACACTGAGGCATAGGAGTGTGTGCTGTACTTAGCTGGGAAAGACACGTGAATAACTCTAAAAATATTCGCATAGTCATACATCGCTTGACTTGTAGAATGTAAACTCCAGGAAGGCAGAGATTTTGTTTTTCACTGATATGTTCCCAGTACCTAAAGCAGTACTGATCATATAGTAGTTGCTGAATGAAATATTTGCTGATAGAATGTTTGAATAAAGGAATCTTTAAATTTATATTAATTAGTCCTCAAAAATAGACCCACACAATAGTTAACTGATCCTCGACAAAGGCCCAAAGGCAATTCAATGGAGAAAGGATTGAGCATTCAACAAATGGTACTAGAACAATTGGATAGATAATGCAAAAAAAAAAGAAGAAGAAGAAGAAGAATCTAGACAAAGACCTACCTTTCACAAAAATTAACTCAAAATAGATCATAGACTGAATGTGAAATTCAAAACTATAAAACTTCCAAAAGAAAAACATATAGCAGAAAATCGAAATGCTCTTGGGTTGGCAATGAGTTGTTAGTTACAATACCAAATACATAATCCAAAAAGGGGTTCTGGCCAAAGGAAGAGCAAGTGCTCAGTCTCTGAGATGCACATCCACTTGTACTTTGAACAGAAGGTCAGAAAGCAGGCAGCTGATCATAGAAAGGCAGGAGGAGCCTGGGAGAAGATCTGGGCAGGAGACAGACAGAGGCCAAATCACAGAAGCCTGATGGTTCCTGTAAGGAGTTTGAGTCACACTTCAATGGCAATGGGAAGCCACTAGAGAGTTTTAAGCAGGAAACTAATATGATTTGATACAATCAATAAATGTCTATTCAATCTGAATCTGAATGACCCTTTGATGGTGGATCAGTGGGCACCTTCAGCTTTAAAAGAGAGAATATGGAAGAAGAAAATGAGTTATTTTGTTTGGGAGGTGGGGTTGGTTTTATTTTTTATTTTCACTTGTTTTTGTTTTGCTGGGAGTTTGGAATAAAGTATTGAGTCTGGGGAATACTAACTTTAAGATATTTGCACTATCATCATGGGAAGATACCAAGGAATATATGGGAATACAAATCAAAAAATTGGGGAAAAAGAGCTTAAGGATGAATCATTCTCATAAATAGAATCAGAGGACAAACTAGCTAAGGGAGAGCATAGACTACAAAGAAGGGAAGTCAAGAACAGAATTATGCCTAGATTTGTGGGCATTTAAAGAGAAGGCAGAGGAAGGATGTTGAAACATAAGGGGAAATGGGGAAATTATAAAGGCCACTTTGGCCAAGCTCCATATAGTCTCTAGTAAAGGAATAGAAAACCCAAAATGAGAAATTTTCAGAGAGACTGTAACTAGAATGAAGGCTCAAGTCAGAGGAACTAATATGAAGAACTCAGTAGAGGCAATACTATCTTCTGTATCAGCAAAATCAGCTCCCATTGAAGGTGGCAGGTTATAGCCATGAGTAAAATCTCTGGTCAAAATGAAATTGGGTCCCAGAAAATTTATCTTATAAAAATAATTGAGCAAATGCACAAGAATATAAGACGTTCATTGCTGTATTTCCAATAGCAAACATTTTTCAGTAATTTGCATCTCCAACAATAATTAATTAAATTGATTTTATTACATCTGTATGGACAAATTCAGTAGCCATTAGAATAAAGGAAAGTGTTCATGCTTTATTTAGCAGAAAAATGTTTTTAAAATGGAAGGTATCACATTTTTATAAGTATGCATACATTTAACATATTCATATTTATAAATATGTACATATAAGTGCATAGTTTTTATTTCTGCTTACCTGCTTTCAGTTTTCATCATGAATATATATTACTTGTGACATTTTAAAAGTATTTTTAAAGGAAAAATGTGGAAATTCTATTAGGAGCACATTTACTCTGTTACTGGTACCACCCTCAGGATCAGAGAGGCCTCTAGGCTATTGTAAAGACCAAAGCCTCAAAGAAAAAGTAATTAGGATGGAATGGTGAGAATTCAATGAACAGTATCTTTCCAACAGTGCTATTAAGGACAGGCACAGCATATAAGCTCAGATGGGAACATTCAAAATGCATTTGAAATGAAGAAATGAAACCAGATGAGTACAGCTGAAGATGAATAATTTCATGAGATGTCTATCTAGCTGAAATTAAGGACCAATAAGACTAGTGTCGATAAGGAAAGCTCTTCAACCCAGTCACAGAAAAGGGAGCTCATACAACCTGTGAACCATTATGATTTAATTTTAATTGTTTAAAAGAACCAAAGGAAACTCGGTAGTTGCAAGTGGTGTGTGAATTTTTATAACATTTTAATACTGTTAGATAGGAAACAGATGCTCACTTATGGAAGCCGTTTTTGTTTGTATAGAATCCGAAATACAAATGTGCAATAGTATAAGCAAATGTTTCAACCTTCATGTTTGCCTTTTAAGTACTATTTGAGGCCCATGGTATGTAGAATAAAAATTATTAAAGTTTCAAAGTTTACAAGGATTTTATAAAGACCCTACATATCTGATGGGAAAGGGAGCTAGTAAACAAAGATTTCTGTGTCATATCTCTATTTTCAGGGGAAGAACGGAAGGCAATGCCTCCGAATTAAATTTTGGGACCCCCAGTAAAATTTCAGAAAAGCCCAGAATTGATCTCAGAATGCACAAACTCGACATGTCTTTGGCAGAGAAGGCTCCGAGATTTCAGTGCGTTCATTGCTCTCCACTAAGGAGCTGCTCAGGCCGCCCTTGCATCCACAGCAAAGGGGCTTCCCTCTGCTCTGCTCTGCTCTCGGGTTCGGAATCCGGAGCGAGTTTCCAGTGAGGGGCGCCCGCTGAGCGCGTGGGAAAGCATCGCGCGTGCCCTTCCCCGCGCGCGTCTGCGGATCAGCGCAGGCGAGGTGGGTGGGTAAGTGCAGGGGAGCGGGGCGGAGGGCGGCAAAGCACAGCAGTCAAGTCTTCCTTGAAATGCTGCAGGCAAAGCCAGACATTTACATCTAAAAATGGCTGGATCTGATCCCCACAGTCTTGCCAGGAAAGTCTGTCATTTCTTCGTGACCCTCGGCTGAGGGCCAGGACCTGTTCTTAACAGGGAGCTTTACATTGGCAGCGGCCCCGCGTACGTTCGGAAACGGAGTAGGGTTACTCGCTGTGCCTGGTGCAGCCCCCTACACGTCCTCGGCCTGCCAGGCTGCAGGCCACATCTTTCCCAGGGTGGCTCTGAACTAACTGTGTCCCTTCATAGTCACCATGGCCCCTGGTTGGAGGCAGCAAGGCCAGGGAGAGGTGGTGAGAACCCCATCCCTCCAGACGGGCTCCTTCTGCATCTGCCTCCCCCTTACCAGGAGTCTTGGCCCCCCATACCAGATAAATGCTTCCAAAGTGACCTCCCCATGAAGAGGTGACTGAAATGGAAACAGCTCACCTCGGGTTCAGGTTTGCAGAAAATCACAGCTGCTTCAGGAAAATTCAAAAGAATTTTCACACACACAACCATGCTTCCTCCAGCCAAGGGACATAAATCTCCACCCAGAAGGCCCACTGTCCAGTTTAGTTTTAGTTCTAGCACCCATCCCTTGCAGCACCACGTTCATCTTAGTCAGAGATTTTGTAATGAGGACATCTGCTATTCAAGCTCACAAACGTGGCAATCTGATGTAATAACATATCTTTCATATGCAAGAAGGAACATTGTTGGGAGTGTTTTTGGAAGTTAGTTTTCCTGGTGCAATTTCATTATTTTGTTTTTCTCCCCCACTTCACAACCAACTGAGATTTTAAAGCTGAGAAAAACTCAAGACATATAAACCATGACTCACAGCTATTTGTAAAAGATAAAATGCTTCTATTTCTCAGGCTTTAGCTTTGAAAATTAAATATTCAAATAAAAAATAACATTACTCCAATAGATGTCAGTGATAAAAATCATGAAAACAGTTTCTGAAAAGCTTCATAACACATCAAGACGGTTCTTTCCCCCTGTCCAATTCTGACCTAATTCTGAGCTTTTCTTTTTAAGTGCGTCATGACTTAATTGTGTACAAGTTGCCTCTCAAGCTTTTTTTCCAGGCGAAGCCCCAGAGGAATCTTCTAGGGGTCTAAAAGGTTTCAGGGGACATTTTATTCCCCAAGGTCAGCCGAATGAGGCCGCCTTTTCTTCAGGGTATGACAGTCTTTTTCTGGACCTGTCAGCATGCAGAGTGCCTGTGGGGACAGAGGGCTGCTCTGGTGCCCTGAGGTGCCACTGCTTGCCTCTCTCAACACCCCAGAGCCAGTCAGGAAGCTAATTGGTGTCTGCTACTCTCAAAGCAGCTGAAAACCTGAAGAGATGGAAAGGTTGCTTGTCAGGGTCTTAAGATCTGATTCAATAAGACAACAACGTCGACTTTTCAGTTCTCCTAAGAAAAATTTTTTTTGAAAGAGAAATATGTCTACAGCCAACCGTTATCTGCTCAAGGACCAAAGACATCTATAAATTTCCTCAGTTTTATCTTACACCCTAAAGGGAGATGACTAGAAAAGGTCAAGATGATCTAAATTGGTTTCTATAAATCCAATAAAGATGTTGTCACTAAGCATCTACTGTATTGGGGCACTGGGGACGTAAGGATAAATGTTGGGTGTCCTGCCCTCAAGGAACTTACAAAACCTCCTCCGTAAAACAGTCATTTAAGACGAGGTGTTTTCTTTGCCAGCAGAGAAAGTCGCTACTAAATGGATTTCATACTTCTCTGACCTTTTGTCAGTGATTCCCAAGTCTTCATTTAAAATGTCAGCTGTAATGAGGTGATGCCCTCCGGAGAGACTGGAGCCTCTAACTCTTTCTTCACAAAAGCCAAAAATCAGAGTGACATCCTGGACTCTTTTTTTTCCCTTGCCCTTCACCTCAATCCATCATCCTGCAGTGCAAATTCTACCTCCATCATCGTTCAGTCTTACACATTTCTGCATCCCCACTACCCCGATCTTAATTTGGGGTTTCAGATGTCTTACCTGAAATACTTGAAATGCATTTTAGCTTATCTTCTGATTTACGCCCGAATCAGGCACTTAATCGTTCTCCACATTATATTGTAATTGCCTTTTTATTTGTCAACCTTTCTGCTAGATTAGAAGCCCCTAAGGGCAGACACTGAGTTCTTAATCTCTGTATTCTGTGCACCTAGCACAGTCATAGGCTAATAGTTGGCATTCAGCCCATGCTAATTAAATGTATGTAAGAAAGGTGCATTAAGAAAAGTACATGGATGCACGTATGCACTGAATATCTCCAAACTGGTTTGACAGTTCCTCCTTTCCCGTTTCCTCCCTGATGTCAATAATCACTCTCTATATTTTAGCAGCACCCTGCTACCCTAGTAAATTGTTGGTTTTAATCTGCTGTGGATGGCAAACTGGATAATCAAAGTTATTTAGACAGTGAATAGTAAGGGTGAATAGGTTCTGACTGAGTCCCTCTTCTACAACTAAAACAAATGAGCTTCAGTGAACTGATTTTGTGAAAACTGTTTCAGTGCCTCAGGGAATTTAGTTCCGTTGCTGTATTCCAGATAGCAGGAGTTGCCCTTAAGTCCTACTTCTAGGTAACTGAGGTGTTACTATATAAAATATTTTACTATTCAATGATTTTAATTTCTACTTTTATTTCAACAGGAATCTTTCAAATTTGCTTCCAAAAGTGTACAGCAAGGGTCTTGCTTTCACTGCTTTTTAATGATAAATATGATTTCTTACCAAAAACATGTTCTTAAAATTTGTCTTTGTAGAAAATATGAATATTTCTATTTTTATTTATATTTTTGCTGCTTAACGTTTTTTTGAGGCATAATCTTGCTGGAGTACAGTGGTGCAATCTTGGCTCCCTACAACCTCTGCCTCTCAGGTTCAAGCGATTCTCATGCCTCAGCCTCCATAATAGTTGGGATTGCAAGTGCATGCTACCACACCCGGCACTAATTCTTTTGCATTTTTAGAAGAGACAGGGTTTCACCATGTTGGCCAAGCTGGTCTCAAACTCCCGACCTCAGGTGATCTGCCCACTTCGAGCTCCCAAAGTGCTGCTGTTTAACTTTTTTGAAGCACGGTTTAATGTTAAGTGAGACAGGATGTCAAAAATCCATGCTAAAATGAGTTTAGAGTGCCCTTAACTAAAAACCTACGAGCATTTGCATTATGCTGTTGAAAATCTCCCCCAGTCCTGTTCTTAATGGGTTCTTTGTCAATGGAAAGCTGAGCAAGACAGCCCTGAGATACTTCTGAGGCCAGGGCATTGGTTTCTGCTGTTTAAGCTGTGACTGGTTATATTTCTCTTTTGGAGTGAAGCTGTTAAACACCTTGTAAAAGGAAGTGGAGCATCGAAGCCAGACAATCCTCTGTGAAAGCATCGTAAGTGCCTCAGTTGAAAGTACAAGTCCAGTCCATGCCATCTCCTCTGAAACTGCCTTCCACCTGAGCCCCAGCAAGTGTGGGCCT